CCACTTCTGGAGTCAGTGAAACAGTTAGTGTTGTTAGTGTTGGAGTAGGAGATGGTGTAGCCAGTAGCTATCAAAGTCCCCTCCAGTGTCCATGAGATGTTCAGAGATGTAGAGGATGGGGAGGTAACTTGTGTACTAAGTCCATCTGTTGAGAAAAAAATTTACCCTGGATTTCGGCTAAGGCAGAGTACACCTGTCCCTATATTCACAGGTATACAGTCAGTTGTTTTAAGTTTTGCATTGATGTTGTCTACACGGCTCCATGCATGCCTTCACGTCTCAGCAGTTAGTAGACCCTTAGGAATGGCTTTTTGCCTACACTGTCAAAACATTCTCCTCCCTCACTGATCATTGAGACTCGCGTCACTATTTCCACACATAAAATTTCGCCTTATTTAGTCCTCCCCAACTTACCACCAGTCCCGACAGATACACCACTGTACAGTCCAGTTCCAGCACCATTCACTGCTGCCACTTGGACAGTGTACAGGGTTGATGGAGACAATCCAGAGATTGTAGCCTGTCTAGCACTGCCACCAACACTAGCAGTTCCTTCTACCATTCCATTTCTCACAGCCTGTGCTCTGTAACCAGTTATCTCTCCATTACGGTCAAGACAAGACACCTCTCCCCAATGGACAGTTATACTACTGGCAGTGACTGTACCACTTCTGACTGAGCTGGGACCTCGTGTAGGATCTGTGTATATAATGAATAACAGGGATAAGTCACACAATATTGACTGAGCCTCTTACTTGTCTGCATAGTTGTTGCAGTTACAGCATTACTGACTGGAGCACTGCCAGCTGCATTGAAGACTGTCACAGTAATGGTGTACCTATTCCCTGGTTCTAGTCCAGTTATTCTGTATGAACCACTAAAACCTTGATTCACAGTAAAACTTGACTGATTCCTATCGGAACATCCAACTGAAGTGTCTCTCAGCCAATGGACCACAAAGCCAGTCACCACTGAGCCAGTGGGAACACTACTAGTGATAGTGATGGTAGTGTCTGTAGCTGTTGGAGATGTTTGCAGAACTAGAGCAGATGGAACTGTAGGGAAAAATCAGTTATGAAAAATGGTAAATGTTAGTATTATTCCTGCTTACCCAAGCGAACAGTGGTAGTAGCAGCACTTTCATTGACTAGGCCTGTTGATGATGTGGCTACAATTGATATGGTATAGGTCCTTCCATTGGTAAGACCAGTCAGTGTGTGTCTGTTAGTATTTTCACCAGCAACATTCTCACTGCCACTACTGCCTGCAGATCTCCCAGAGTAGGAGATTTCATAGCCAGTGATACCATTCAATGGAGAAACAGGAGGGTTCCAGGTTACTTCAATACTTGTTGGTCCTTCCTGGGCTGCTGACACACCAGTGGGAGGTGATGGATCTGAAGAAACATCAAACTTGAAGTGAAACTACTCTGATTATAACAAAGGGGAATAGGGTATATACCTAATGTGATGCTAGCTGATGCAGTTGATGGCTTGTTATTAGACACAGTACATGTGTATGCTCCCAAAGCAGTCACAGTCAGAGTGTGGGTGTACTGTGCAGTCACTGGGTCATTCAACACAGTCTGGGTTCCTTGGGTGACAGTGGTGGAGTCTCTGGTCCAAGTGACAGTGGTAGCAGGTCCACCAGTGGAGATACAGGTGAGGGTGAGCTGGACTGGGTCAAATGTCACTCCTCCAGACATTGAGATGCTCCCTCCTATTTGTAGAAGAAAGAGACTACCATAACTATAAGTGTTAGTCATGAAGGATTTTTAATGCATCTTAATTAATTCCTCAGCAATTTAACATAATTATCCTGATGCACTTAGCTAACAAATTTACCTCCACTAATATACAGTCCCACATAGACTGTGGCTCTCACTGAGATGTCTGTATCATCATGGACAGCATTGGTTGGAATCTCACAACGATATATACCAGTTGGTGAAGTGGCACGGTTTGCACGACGTAGTTCAACTCTTTGTTGTTCTTCAACCACATAAATATCTTCAATTGTCTGCAGAGCTACACCATCAGGGAAATACCATTGTCCACTATGTCGAGGACTATGTATATTTCTGCAACATGTCATCAGATCAGTGCGACACCAAACACTGGTTCTATCAATCCCCACTGTTCCAAGGTCTACATAACTATGGTTAGGTAGCCCAGCTCCTGTGGATATGGAGACATAAGGGTAAGGGACAGTCTGACAGTCGACCTCCAGACCACAGAGGAGAATCAAAGCAAACAAAAATCTGGAATCCATCGCGCAACAAATAGAACAATAGTGGTAATCTCGTGTTATAAAGTGAAAACTTCGGTGCAGCTTTATTTAGCGCATGCGCACAGGGTCAACGTTCCCACACGCGCCCGCCGCACGCGCGGGAAAAACTGCTTACGCCTGCAAATTTGGGGAGAGGCGCAGTGTCATGGAGTTTCAGATCCCTCTGTCCCGCGAGGACCTCCTCCGGCCGTCGGGAGGCTCCCAGTTCTTTGTATCAGAGCCTCTCCCAGCCAGAGAGACTGTGTCCCGACTAGAAGGTAGACCTAGTAATGTTTGCCCGCCCCCTGCCTTCTCTCCCTCCTTCACTTTTTCTATTATACACCCTGACCTCTCTTATATTGTGCTTCCCTTTCTGTTATGTCTCTGTGGTGGATTGTTTGATAATGCACACGTCGGGCATCCCATGATTTTCTAATATATCTTGTCTAGAATGCAGGTCACTGCTGGACTCTAGTGTCATTGCCTCCATTCCCGAGTGTTTCCCTGTCTTCTTCAGTCTTCTACAGTGAGTCTGCACACAGCATAATGTATGCATATACCATAGCTACAGACACACACACACACACACCTTGTGAGCTGGATTAATTAAAAAATGTATCTTCCAAATCAACCAACCAAGTTAGTGTAGCCCACATTATTCAAACCTGCTTACTTACTGACCCAAGTACATTCTACTAACCCACAGTTTGTTAATTGCAAATGAAGCATAAAGCAATTGCCATAACGGTGTCACTAACTACGGTAGTACTTTATAGGGATGACTGGTTTTCCAGCATCATGCCCATACATTTGAGATTTTCATAAGACTATGCTTCAAAAAATGAATATGAGTTAGAATTGTATTTGGCTCACTTTATTATGTGTGTCTGCAGGAATTTCCTGAGTGTTGGTGTGTCAGTGAGAGAGAGTTACTGGAGGATTGGGGTCAGGGGGCTGGAGGGGGTGTGTCACCAAGTGGGCGGGGCTAATTTCACCGGTATGACACAGACGAAGAAGGCGGAACTGAGGAATGCACTAAAGGTCCATGTCTTCCCTTCTCTCCCACCTTCTCAACTTCCCTCTCTTCCATCTTCATTGCAAATGTTGTTTCTTTAACTTTTCTCCACTCCGCTTTTTTACTAATAGAAGTATGTTTCTTTAGACATGATTGTTCACATTTTCACACTACTAGATGATGGTGTATGTGGTAGTACAGTTGGTTGAAGAGTTTGAAACTGATGCCACCAAACCTGATTCCCTCGAGATTGTCACCAACAAGGTTCAGTTGTGAACTATTGTTAGGGTAGGGGTGCGAAGTGATAGTGAGATAGAAGTAATATAGGAAGAGGTACAGCAAGAATGTTATATTATTCCATCCTCCAACTATAGTCAAAGTATTGGGTATGATTGGTTTGTGATTTCGTTCACTCACGTGCCTGCAAAAAATGCGAAACAGTTCATACTCGAAAGCCTTTTTGAGGGGTTTCGAAAAGGTTACCCGCTATATGGTATCTGCAGTTGAAAGAAAATTTTCATAGAGGCAAGGTGGTGTTGCTATTCCACCCTCCAACTTTAGTCAAAGTATAGGGGATGGTTGGTTTGTCATTTCCTTGACACATGTGCCTGCATGCAAAACTGTTAGAACCTTCTCCATGGGAGGACGCGAGACTGTCTTTTCTTGGCGTCGGGACTTCACTTACCGCTGCACTGGAACTGCCCGATTGACCCATTTTTCGTTTACAAAATTTCTTTGTGAAAGTACACACTTTCGCATAATTAGAACACAAACTCGTGCGCATGCGTGTAAGTAGTGGGTGGGCCTCTCAAGCACAAAATGGACGATTACTTGATACCTTGTGTGGTGAAGCCAGCCGTTTTCCTCACCGTTTCAGGTACAGAATATCTGCTTCATTCATCTTTCTGTGATGATGTATTACATCAGGACAGAGGGGCTCGGCTCGGCAGGGTCCAGGTTCAGTACCAGACTCTGGGAATGAGACCAGACCATCAGGTTGTCAGGTGGTGGATGTGGAATTCTGTTCCTCCATTCCAGAGGTCGTAGGGTGCATCTCGTTCCAAAACTACTACACTCATACCCTCACACTCAAATACTGTAACCGGCCTCTGAGCAGATTTCAATTTCGAAATCCGACCGCCCAACTCGAACCAGTTTGGTATCAGAGAGATCTCAAAATCTACTCTGTTGCTAATCTGTTCCACTGGAATGGAACAGACCTACTTTCATGTCACCTGATGGAATGGAACAGGTACTACGGAATGGACTGCAGACCAATGGCGACATGGAATCAGGGCAAGACATAAACAGACACCCTTACGATGTAGCAACACTCTCTTACATGTGAAAATAATATAATGAAAGTGCTTTATGACATGAGTAAAGTTGCGCTGGAGCTGTAGCCAGAGCAAGCTAGGACTTCTTAGTCATGCGTCGCTACCTGCAAGAAGACCGAATACCTGGTTTTTTGTGATAAAGAACCGCTCCAGAAGGCGTGGTTGCCGTGGCAGTTAGGCGCCGATTCGAGGAAACTACGCGATTTAGAAAGCCTCGGGCCCTCTAGTAGCGTCCTCGCTGGCGGTCTATGGGGTGGTAAAAGTGCTCTTGCCTCGGCAAATTGCCATTTGCCGCGGCAATAGACCAGTTTCACAGTGGGCGGAGATAATTGAACGTGACGTCACATCCGGAGTCCCGTTCTGGCTCCAGCAATGTATTGAGAAACTGGAACCGTCCGTACTTAGAGCGGCGCAGCACGTAGCTCTTAGGAACAAGCTAGAGCGTCCGTTCTTTTTCTCACGCATATACTACAGTTACTGCAATATCGCAAAAGTAACTTATAAATAGAGCATACCGTAAGAGCTACGTGCTGCGCCGCTCTAAGTACTGACGATTCCAGTTTCTCAATACATTGCTGGAGCCAGAACGGGACTCCGGATGTGACGTCATGTTCAATTATCTCCGCCCACTGTGAGTGTGAAACTGGTCTATTGCCGCGGCAAATGGCAATTTGCCGAGGCAAGAGCACTTTTGCCGCGGCAAAAGGCCCGGCAATATGGGAATACCACCCCATACGGCAACGACAAGAATACTGACACGATTGAACATGGCCCAGCTAGTTATTCTTGCCGCGGCAAATGTCCCGGATTTTTCGGCCCAGGTTTTGCCGGGGCAATTGCCGCGGCAGTTTAATTTTGCCGCGGCAAACCGGAAATGCCTTGGCAAAATCGACGTTTAAATACTGACACGAATACCACCCCATAGCGGTCGGACAGCTACAGCCCGAGGGCCCGCGGCTTTATAAATCGCGTAGTTTCCTCGAATCGGCGCCTAACTTATATAGAGTGAGCGCTTCACGTTGAGCGCTCTGGCTTTCCTGTTCGTTCGTATGGCGGAGCGCTTCTAACGATGACTCGATGGAGGCAGGCTCAGAGCGGCAGAAAATGCAGTGCAAGAAGAGCGAAGCGGCAGCGCAGAGACATACGCGGTAGCGACTCCGCCTTCTTTTTCTGGTTGTTCGCGCACGCGCAGGGGGGTCTGCGCGTGCGCGTGGACGACGCGCGTCAATATTGTTGTTTTGCACAACCAGAAAAAGAAGGCGGAGTCGCTACCGCGTGTCCTCGGCCGCTTCGCTCTTCTTGCACTGCATTTTCTGGCGCTCTGGGCCAGTCTCCATCCAGTCATCATTAGAAGCAAGCACTCCGCCATACGAACGCAGGAAAGCCAGAGCGCTCAACGTGGAGTGCTCACTCTAAAATAGTTAGACGCTCGGTAACCCGCGCCGGTAGAAAGCCTCGTGCCCCGGGGGTAGCGCCCTGATCGCTACGCTCGGGGCGCCACAATGCCGGGGCTCTCGGCTTTCTACTGCGCGTAGTTACCTCGAATCAGCGTCTAACTATTATATAAAACAAGAAAACATAACACAATGTACATGTAAACAACAAGATCAACAACTGAATCTACATTGACGCGTCGTCCACGCGCACGCGTAGACCGTCACGCGCACAACCAGGAAAAGAAGGCGGAGTCGCTACCGCGTGTCTCTGCCGCTTCGCTCTTCTTGCACTGCATTTTCTGGTGCTCTGATCCTGTCTCCATCGAGTTATCGTTAGAAGCGCTCCGCCACACGAACGAACAGGAAAGCCAGAGCGCTCAACGCGAAGCGCTCACTCTAAAATAGTTAGACGCATGATTCCTCGGTAACCACGCAAAGACGTGGTGCCCCGGGAGTAGCGCCCTCGCTGCGCTCGGGGCGCCACAATGCCGGGGCTCTCGGCTTTCTACTGCGCGTAGTTACTTCGAATCAGCGTCTAAATATAGGTTAGATGCCGAGTCCAGGAAACTACGCGAATTAGAGAGCCGCGGGGGCCCTGAGCTGTCGGCGTTCGAGCGCAGCAAGGACGCTACTAAGGGGGCCCCCAAGGCGCTCTAATGCGCGTAGTTTCCATGACGAGGCGTCTAACCGGTTTAGAGCTATGGTAACGCGTTCATTCAAACCAAACGCGCGTTGAAGAAATGGCGACAGGCTTCGATATCTTCGGAGAGACTGTCCGCGACTGGTTGAATGAACCAGAAAACGACGAGGCTGAGCTTCTCTTCTCCTGACAGCGAGCAACGACTACGAGTCATCACAAGACCCCGCCCAACAGCCAAGTTGCCGGCCACTCCAACTCCCGCTTTGCTCCTACAGAGAGCGATGGCAACGCATGGCTAAACGCACGTTGGAGAAATGGCGACAGGCTTCGATATCTTCCGAGAGACGCGAGCTGCTCTTGCCACTTTCAACTAAAACGGTGAAGCACGCGTGCGCATGCGCGAGAATTAGAATCCGCCGGACTCTAATTCCCCCAATTCCGGACTCTACGCGAATTAGAGTCCGCTCACGAACCAATCAGATTGCGCGATTTTTGCTCAACGGGCCCGCGCCAACGTGCGTGCGCGTCGCGTAGCTAGCTACACCTTTGACCTCACGTGCACGTGAACTGCGGAAAATTTCGAAAACATATTTCAATTCACAATCAA